ATTATATAAAGATCGGACCTTTTAGAATTATTAGAAATATTAAAGATACTAGTTATAAGTTAAAGCTACCTATAAGAATAAGAATACATATAGTATTCTATATATTACTGCTTAAACTAGTACTAGAGGAAGTTCTAGAGCTTACTTAGATTTCTAATAACTACTTTATAGAAAGAAAAGGCTAACATAAAGCGTAGAAGGTACTTAGTATTAGTAATAACTTTAATAGTAGTTAGCGTAGATATTTAGTAAAGTAGAAGGATTATCTAGATTCGGAAAATACTTAGAAACTACTTACTAATCTTATAGATTACAAGCGACTCCTTAAGAGTTACTCTTAAAGAATAAAGAATCTAGAAAGATAGAGGGTATTAAGGAATTAAGTTACTTCTAAGTAGCTAGAGGAAGCTCTATCTTAAAAGAAATAGTAGTAGAATTAATAGAGAGGAAAAAGGGTAATATATTAGACCGTTTACGCTTCTCTTACTCTAGTCGTTCTATCTCTATAATTATTTCTATTTCTCGCTAAATGCGGTTCCTCTCACGTTCCTTAGTCTAATCTAGTAATAGTTTAAGTTAATAGCGTTTTACACGTGCTATTAAAATCGCCTCTTTAATCTTTTTAAGCTTGCGCTCGAGTTTTTATTGCTCTTATACTATTTTCTCTTACTCGCGATAGGTAATAATATAGCTATATTTCTAGTTCTTTTTAATATAAATCGTATAGCGGCTAAAATATAACTTAAGTTTATAGAGCACGCTATTATCTATATAATCTTTATAAGAACAAACTATCGTTACTCCGAATTCTAAAATATAATAAGAAAGATTATAAGAATAGTTAGTGGATATTAGAGTTAGTAGTATAATTAACTAATAGGGGACATCTATAATATAAGAAGGGGTAATAAGAAGCTCTATAGATGGAAGCTAAACTAAAAGGGGGATAGTATTATAAATGTAGGTTTTCTAGGAGAAAAGTTCTAGAAGATTATATCTAGGAAAGTGTTTCTAGAAAACTAGGGCACGTACTAGGGGTATATGCCTTAATAAGCTGGATAAGTAGGCTTAGCGCACTTATTAAACTTTTTAGCTATAATAAGAGTAGTGAGGGTGATAAGGGACTTAGTAGACTTATTAGTACTTATTAGATAAAAGGGCTACTAAAGTTATTAGGTATATAGGAGCTACGACTACTTATTTATTAGTAGGTTGTGCTTAACTTATATAGCTTAGGTATTATATATTGTTTCTACTATAGAAGTCTACACTTTTAATCTATAATATAATTGTATCCTTTAGCTCTATAATACCCTACTCCTATACGAACACACCTAGAAGACAAGCCTTATTACATCTATAAAATTTCTTAGCATAAATAGATATTTACTACTATTTTTAAAATATATTACAATTTGAAGATTCTATTTATCTATAATTCACTATAGTACTATACTCTATCTAGTTATTATATATTAGATACTCTCAATAGTAGATTGATATATCATAAATAGAATAGAGTTATTTATAGAATCTATACATTTTTGCTATCCTTCTACTATATATTTTATATAACAATAAATATACTAGAATATATATTTCAAAATCTAATAAGAAGATTAAAAGTATTTTATATATATCTTTTCTTTCCTTCATTATAGTTATGTAAACTATTTATTCAAATCTTTTACTACTATTAATAGACCTAGAAATAGTTATACTATACTAATAGAACATCCTATTTATAGCACGCGTTTCTAAAATTTTACTAGTATTATAAAATTAGATATTTTTACTAATTTCTTATATTCCCGAGATGCTTTTAACGCGTGTTATTAAAATTAGAGTTATAGATAGTAATATTCTAGATTATAACTACTACTAATAGTTATATATTTATTATTCGCGCTATTACTAGAGAAAATTAGTTATAACAATGTATAAATTTTAGTGTTTTAAGTGTTAAAATACGTTTTTTATTGAAATTATAAAAAATAAATTTTCTATTTTAGCCTAGTCATACTAAGATTTATAATTTCCTTTTTAATACTATAATATTACAGTGAACAATTAACTCTACCTAGTGTCTCTTCATTCTATTCTCCTTTTTCTAAAATATTTGTAATGGAGAAGAAATACTAGAATTATGAACCAAATTTTGTACAGTTTATACCATCATGCAATTAAAGAAAATATATAGTATAGACTATCTTTAACAGGTTTAAAGCTTTGAAAAATAAAGATTTTTATATTTTCACTATTTTCTAAACCTTTAAAAGTTACTAACATATTATATAGTAGATGTAAAGCTTTGAGCTTTAGATATAGATAAGAGAAGTTAAATAAAAATTTACTAAATGAAGTGCGTTTAATCATTGCTATTAATTGGATATGCATTTTTTTCCTTACTGTTATTAATTCAAAATTAGAGTGTTCTATTAATTTAGTATATTACTTTAGTAAATCCATTCCGTACAACTAAAATAACTAAGCTATTTTCTAATAAAGAGTAATTTAGAATCGAAATAGATTCGGTATAGAGTTTTAAAATATCGAAACTAATAATATAGGGCTAAATTTCTATATATAGTATATATAGCTAGATAAAGCTATTATTAAGCTTAATAATCTATATATAGCTTATTTGTATATAGTGCTAGCTAGTAATAAGCTTCGTTTCTTTATATCTAGCTTAAATAGTTTAATTAATAAGCTTAAATTTATTCTAAAAAAATATTACATACCTTAGATAATCTAAATGAACCTAGTATTATTATGACTAGTACCTTGATAATAGCTTTCTTATAATATATACCTACTATATCAAAAAGAATATAAGCTTAATAGCCTTTTAAGTATTTTATTCTCTAGTTTAAACCTAAGTTTTACATGTATAATTCTTTAAACATTTATTAAATTACTGGTATTATAAGATTTTTATTATTTTACTATATAGAATGGTATTATATAATACTATCTAAAGTCTAAAAGCTAGATTAGTAAGCTAGTATTATAGCTCGACTAAATATCTAAGATACTTTCTATTTTTAGAAAAAAAAAATCTACGATACTAATAGTACTAATTATACAATTCCGATTTAATACTAGAAACGGTTAATTATTAGATTTAGAAATTAGTCGGTATAAAAATTATCGGTAAATTATAGTATAAATAATAGAACACTCTACCTCTATTCTCTAGAGAATCGCTATTTTATTCTATAAAATTAAGGAATAGTTTAGCCTAGTTTACTCTATATATATATAGATCTAGATAGAACTCTATTATATAAATATAGGAATTATAGGGGTAATCTATAATAGCTAATAAGGGTAATTAGATATTTATAGAAATCTAGAATCGCCAATGTAATACAAATAATATAAAAGAGTGAATTAATATTACCCTAGACGGCTTTGTTCTATAGAATAAAAGACTCTTTAATAGCTTTATAGATTGATATCTAAATTATTATAAATAGTATTTTAATAAAAGAATAGTATTATATAATCTTTATAGTAACGCTTACTAGCTTAATATAATATAAATATTTATTAGTACTATCTATATTATATTATCTCTTTACTAATCTAGATTATGTAATACTAGTTATCTACTATCTAATAGCAATATCTCTCTATGAACTATTAATAAAAGTATTAATAATATTAATTAAAGTACAGCTTCTTATACGCTATATAATAATAGTATCTAGTAGAAATTAGTAGCTATTCAATAGTAGTTATATAATAGCTTAAACTAAGAGTTTATTTAATTTTATTAAGGATTATACGTCGCGTGAGATAATTAGTTATAATAAAGCCAATAATACGCCATTTGACGAGCGATTTATATATAGTAATAATCTAGTATATTAAAATAGAAAGCTTTTAGATGTATTATTTTAATTTAACTACTATTAGCGTTATAATCTTTCTAGCTATCTTCTAGATAGTTAAATAGAGCTTCTATATATCTATAATAATTATCCGAAGAGACTAGTAAGTAATATAATATAGCGTTCAAATACTATATTATTTTATATAGCTATTTAATAGTAGCAAAGCTACTAGAGTTTTTAGTAGTGATAGTAGTACTACTAGAATTAATAGTTCTAGTATTATTAAATAATACTAGAGTGATAGAGTTTTAGAAAAGATTAGAGAAAGATTTATAACTCTAAAGAAAAATAATATAATAATAAAAAAAAAAGGGAAAAAGAATAAAGATTAAAGTATTCTAGCTATTTCACTAGCTACTGTCTATATATTTAAGCTCCACTATATTAAATTCTGTTTTAAATTATATTCTTCTATTTTCTAAAGCTTTCTACTATCTTTCAAACCTTTTTATTATATCTTATAATCTTCTATAGTCTTATACATAGAATATTGAATACAATATAAAGTAATATTAATTTAGAATATCTTTAGAACGCTCTCTCTAAATATCTAGCTATTTATATCTTTATTGCAATTAACTATATTAGTATTACTATATCTCTAGTAACTTTAAAAGTTAATATAGATTATAATACTAGATGCTAAAAATGCTTGAAGCCTAGAGTAATTGATAGATAGAGGTCTTCTATAATAATCTAATCATCGATCGCCGCTATCTATCGAACGTGCTATAAGGGTGTATGCAAGCTTGCTATGTGCTTACTTAGCCCCGAGCCTCGCTTAAAAAGGCAAATCTTGGAAGAGAAACGGGAGCTAAATTAGGCCGTTTCGAGTCTTTCTTGCAGCTTCGTGCGGGGCACGATTGGTGCAATTGGTGCAATTGGTACAATTGGTTGAATGTTGCTCTCCCACAGCACTGCGCTTATGCTAACCGGTCACGACATAGAGGGAAGTTAGGGCGAGGGTAAGGGGTCTAGTTATCGCCGGCTTTAACAGCGCAGGGTTAGCTATCACTATTCCATTCTACACTTAAATTTTTCAGGCCTTTTTGCCTCTCTAAATCCATTTTACCCTTATGCTACTCGCTTGCTTACGAGATGAGTGAATCTAGATTCCTGACTGAGTTGCTCCCGGAACTTGCACTCCATTATCGCCGCGAAGCTCTCAAGGAACCCGAAGAGAAGTGCCCGTGGCTTAAGCCTTTTCGATCCGCACAACCGGACTTGAACGAGGCGCGGGACCACTTTTTCAAGGATGGCAGTGACTGCATTAATGACTTGGAGAAGCACACGGAGCTCGTCCGGCTGGCGGCTGCCAACGAGGAGCTCACAGATGAATTTGGGCTCCTATACATCATCTTCATGGCGGAGCTCTACAAGGACGTTGAAAGCCTAACTGGTCTCAAAGACTCCGGACCTGAAGTTTACTACGATGCCAGCGCTGTAGGAGCCCATGAAATTGAAAGAAAAAGGAACGTGATCAGGGAGCGAAGCAAGTTAGGCAGCTTGGTCGATTCCTTTTTGGATGCAGGAAAAGAGATGCACGTTAAACATCTTGCCCGAGACCTTGGCTATATATAAAGCAACTATTCTAAGGGACACCGAATTCTCGTCCATATTACTAATATCTTCACAGGCAATTGTATTATTAAGACCGTGTAAGAACAGCCTTGGAGAAAGCGCGGGCGTACGTCGACGATTCCGGCGACGAAACACTCGATCAGCAATTGGAGAAAATAAGACGGAGATTGGACTCTATGTTGTCTCCTGGACGGTTCACAAAAACGGTTGGCCATGCCCATAAAATCAATATCAAAAGTTTCACCTACAAGGTCGGCTGTCCAGAAGCGCATGAAGATCCTCAGCACAACATCGCAGAATTGCGGAAGTTCCATGCAACCCAAATGCCATTCTTTCAAAAGCTCCAGAACGATCTTCAGGCCGAAATCAAACTGAACAAAGAGCAGCGGGAGATTATCACTGCACTAGTATTCCGACATCTAATCGAACACCTGCCACCCAATCCGTACAAGAACAGAACAAGCGCAACAGACCGATGGCTGGCGTTCTGGGAAGACGCAGTGAGAAACGAATACGATCATCCGACGGATCTTACGACGGATCCTCCGACGGATCATCCTCTCAAAGGCCTTGTGAACGAAAAGGTTTTCCCTAAGCTCCCAGCCCCCTTAGTCGATCCCACCACAGGACTGCCTATCACTAGAGGCTCCACGGAAGAGTCCGTCACCAGAGATTCCAAAGGGGCAATCGATGAGATAGGAGAGAAAGCACAAATGTACAGGTGGGGAAAAGAACTGTTTGGCATTCTGAGCAAGAATATCCACGCACTTGAAGCAAAGGGCAAGGAGGGATACAAGGTCGGCAGTGATCACTAGGGAAAGGGGGTGAGAGACATACTCGAGCGCTTGAAGCCGACCGAGTATGACAATGACGGCGACACTAGTGTGGTGAGTTGGGAGCGAGAGCGATTACGGTATGTGCCCGCGGCGCTGTTAGCGACGGCGGCGCCCTCAGGGCCAACGGGCGCTACTACGGCCCCGCCTACCACGACGGGGCTTGCTACGCCTGGAATGCCGGTTGCAACAACGGGACCTGCTGCGCCTGGAATACCGATGTTAGCAGGGCCTCCGGGCGGCGCTAGACTCACTGCGACGGCGCCAGTTGTAGGATCCATTACGGCGGCTGTGGCAGGGTCTACTCCGGGATCTATAGCGTCGGGAATCTGAAGCCACTCTTCCTCAGTCTTTCAGCAGCATGTCACTCTCAGGATGGAAATGCTAGAACGCCCATTTCGGTCGTCATTCTGTCGACGGCAAAGGCTGATGCAAGCTTGTTGTATTGACTAGGTGAGTGGGCGAACTATATACACGAGCGCGCTAGCAACCTACAGAGGTTCTGCCGGCAAGTGAGGGCAAATCACGTGACTAGGCAACCGTGCAGACTTTTTGCTAGGAACTGTACCTGTCATTGGTCGCCCGCCCGCCCACTACTCTCGGGCGGGGGCGGGCGGGCTACTGTCCATGAATTCTAGCTGCTGCTGCTGCTGCTGCACTACTAGTTCCTCCATCACCAACCTTCACTTCGCCAGCCCAAAGCTCAGAAATTCCGCGTCCACTACCTAGCTCCTGAACCTCAAAGCTGGTCTTCCTCTCGTGGAGCTCTGAAACAACCTGTGTAACTTCCATTTCCCCAATTTGTGCATCTGCCAGTTCCCCAAGTCCATTTGTCTTGGAATCAAGATCCTCCGGCTGCACCTTCGCCCCCAAGCGCCTGCGCTGTCTGCGCAGGAAGATGAACGCGAGACCCGCGACTAACGACAGAGCGATGAAGATGCCAATACCAATTCCTGCACCTGCTGCGGCTGATAGTCCCGAGGAGCTTGATGCGGCTGTGCTTGTGGAGGCTGCGTCTAGCGGTTGAGAAGCGGAACCTGAACTTGGGGCAGGAGCGGTGGAAGACGCAACAGAGGTCGCTGAAGTCGCTGATGATGCTTGAGACGATAGTGTGGCTGAGCTCTGCTTAATCTGCCGCACATTTCCTGCCACGATGCTGCTATCAGTAGGCGTACTACTAGTGCTCCTGCTTCATGATGCGGGTGAGGCACCTTCATCGTCAGCGAACCATGTTGTTGGCTCTTCCCTCCAGTCATACTCATTTATAAACTCCCAAACGACCGTGTTGGGATTCTCTGGGGTTTTGCCTTCCGAAAACGTAAAATAGCAGTAGATCCTCTCATCTGCTTTCTGCGTTATAGGCAACATAAATTGATAGGTGACAGGCGGCGGAACGCCTCGTGTGGCCCAGGAGTCGTCCGAGGAAGTATATGCTATTCATAGTCAGCTTTTGCGATAATTAATGTCTATGTAACGCGAACGCGGACAAGTATTTAGTGTGCGGCAAGACAGCCCAATTCCAGTTGCTATTGGCGGACTCCATTTGAGTATCATTCTGTGATACAGATGGAGTGGGCCGAAGTTGCTGGTCTGCCGAAGGGGTGGGTTGACCTCGCCGGGGGGCGGCCAAATCCATTTCAGATCTACGCTTTCAGACATGTCCGACGAAGTTCTTGAGATGGGAGAGGGGAGGAATCTTGTATCCGGTACATATTATCTTTTGGGGGTGTTTCGTTTCCAGTAAATTACATGTCCTGGAACGAGGCTTGGGGCCAAAAGTCAGGTCCGGTCAGAGCGCATGAACACACTAGAGAGACCGGAGATTGCTGGAACACGGCGCTGGGAAAGAGACCGATTGGCCGAAAGGAGTAGCCGTTCCAGAACTAGCCAATAAGACAGCTTAAACAACCCATCAGACGTGGAAACATAGTGCATGTAGTATGTATCTTGAATTTCAGCCCCTGATCTTTCTAGAATCGCTTCTTATTATTAACCATTCTATGTCGCTAGTCTTGGGTTCTAAAAATCGTTTCTTTTTTATAAAACGGCCGTCGACTTTATATACCTTTGTTATAGATTTTCTGCTAATATATGCAACAATAGATCCTTGTTAGAGAGAGTAGACAAACGAGCTTTTTCTATAGAACTCTATAATTAAATCTAGATAAAATGCTAGTATGTGCTAAATAATAATTATAGAATTATACTATAAAAATAATAAGTATTCTACGGCGTTTATATAGCGTTTATTTTACTAATTACAAGGAAGATTTAATGCTTGACAGTAAACTCTAATTTAAGTTGAAAATAATAGTAGCTGTATAATTATATTAAATCAAAGAATAAAGATTCTCTAGAAGTGTAAAATAATATAAAAACAATAGTGTTATATAAAATAGTATTGTAAGGTTATTTTAGTAATAAATAAAGTTCTATTAAATGTTTTCTCTATTCTATACTATCTATATAATAACACTATTTTATTCCAACTATAGATATAAAGCTGAATTCTATAAATAGCTATAGATAGTAGACAAGATAATATCACTATAAAAAGCTAAATTAGTTATATATCTAATTAAAACAGGATATAGAATTTCTATAAAGAAGAATAGCCTTTTACTATCAGAATATAGAGTTAAAAACATACGTATTTAAGAAATAAATAAAAAATTAGAGTTTATTTACTTTAAAAAAATACACAAACTAGTAGAGTCAATATTTAATTAAATAATATAGAATTAGATCTTTTAAAAGTACTATAAATATTAAAAATATAAGCTTTAAATTGAAACTACTAAAGAGAATATAAATACGCCTAGTATTTTATTTTTCTTATTTGAATTAGTATTAGACACGATTACAATAGTAAAAAAAGTATTTAGAAACTATCTAATATAATTAAAAAACTAGTATTAATTCTAGAGAATTCTAGTAGAGGGTAATAATCTTATCTATTATTAGTAATACTACTAAATAAAGTGAAAAGAGTATAGAAATACCATATTGAAACTATTTACTAATTTTAATAGATATAGAAAGATAGAAATATAGCACTAGAAATCATTCTAGATAAATATTAACATGTATAAAATATATCTAGTAGAAAAGCAATTTTGATAAACGTAGAATTTTGAAAGATAGAAGGGGAAAAAATGGAAATTTATTTCTAGATAATGGATAGAAACTGTATTTTAATAGAGAGTAAATTGAAGAAATTAATTAAAGAAAAAAAAGAGCTAAGATACTCTTGTTTCTTTTATTTTAATAGAATATCTTTTTGATTACCTCTAGTTTAGAAAGAACTTTCTTTTTAGATTAAGCTTTTATTTATAAAAGCTAGTGTTTAAAGCGTTTATATCTAGCTATTATTATAGTAATATCCTATTTTACTTTAGTAAGCTAGCATATTAGATTGTAGCAATTATATACTATTTTCTCTAAATCTCTATAAATAACAATATAGTGATAATTATTATTCTTTATAATATAGTTTAAATAGCAATCTGAATACATATTCGTATAATAGAATGCGCTATTATTAGAACAATCTTTATTAGAATAAACTACTTTAACGCTAAACTTCAAGATAGAGCGAGAAAGATTATAAGGATAATTAATTAATAATATAAATTAGATGTTTTATAAGAATAGCGAAAAGGTCAAACTATTAATTTTAGATTATTAAAACGAATAGCTAAGCTGGAAAGAGAATAGCATTTTAAATTAAAAGAAAAGAGGCTTAGTATTTATAGAGTTTTTCAAAAAAAAATATCTAAAAATTACCAAAATTTTCTAGGAAAATAAGTGTAGAAAATATAGAGAAATTTTAGACTTAAATTTAATAAATTTAGTAAGTTAGTTTAACTACTATTTAGATTTACAAAGAGATAATAGATTTTATAAACTACAATAAAGGCTTATTATACTTATTAGTAGTATTTCACGTGATAACTTACTACAATTCTTAAGTATATAGAAAGTATAAATGTTAGAATTTAGAGTGCTATATTTAATCTATAGAAATAAATTTTCTATAAAATTAGAACTTAATCTATAATATCTCTCTTACTTATATCTATTTTACTATATTAATAACTCTTTAGCTGTACTTTAATATCTATCTAGCTATTAAGATACGCTCTATTATTATAAATATATTTAGAAAAAACTAATGTAGACTATTTAGAATATATTTTAACTTACATTTAGAAAACTAGTAATTAGAGATTAATGGTTAGAATTAGTAGTTAATATAAAGTTAGCTATAAACAAAGAAGTACAGTAAACTTATCTACGATTATCTATAACTACTTATAGTTTAATATATTGTTAAAGATATAGCACCCTTATAGTGTTTAGTTACCTAAAATGCTAGTTAGCTAAATAACATTATAGATAGTAGACTGTACTTATAGCGTGATCTAGATAAATTGCGGTCACTATATAGAAGTAAAGAAGCGGGGTTGGAGGTAGGCAAAGGACGTTGAAATGAGGGGTGTGCGCGACCGGGGCGTGGGTGCATTGAGCGGGAAAGAGGCGCAACAAACACGCTACGCCGGGGCGTTCCTTGCAGCGACCGGGAGCGCCCCGAGGGACGGGCCCTCAAGACCCCCCGGCCAAAGGTGGGGGCCTCAGACCTTACAGCCCCTGCAGCCCAAAAATAGGGGACGGGAACCTCAACTTGGCGTCTACAAGTAAACACCATCTCGGAATAATTTAGCGAAAGAATGCACCAGAATGCTCGGTGGGCGGAGTTCTCTTCTTTACTTGCTTGTCGTTGGATACGAGCTGGACAGTCCTCCCCTGCATGTTAGATTTCTTATCAATCTACATAGTCCTCCAGCCCTGCGGCTCTACGCGCTCTCCTAAATTGCCTTCTCCTCCCTTGATCTTCACTCAATCTTCGGCTCATTTATCCAAGACAGTTTCAAACCGCAAGAAACGACAACGACCCGCTCAATGACACGCAATCCGTCACATCTCTCCCTTCTCGCAACCACCCTCTTCCTACAACTTACGCACGCCCAAGTCGGCACCATAACGCAGGACGTCTACACCCTCTCGGCCTTTCCCCTCCAAAAGCCCTGCGCGCAATCCTGCTTCGTCGCCACCGGTATCTGCCCCAACGACGTGCTCGGCAGCGAAATAGGTTGCAACTCATGGAACTGCAACGACCGTATTTGGCAAGCTACGAACGACTGCTACTGCCGGACGGATCTGCAGAAGCCTGCGCAAGAACTTCTGACCAGTTGTGTCGAGAGGAAGTGTACGGTGGGCGATGTCAGGATCGATGCGTCGAGCGCGGGCAGCATCTACGCGCGGTACTGCGCGGAGAAGGGGTATAGTCCTGCGGCAGAACCGGCGACGGTGCAAGCGACAGCCACGGGGCCTGGTGCTTCGACAAGAGCGGTGGGGGGAGGGGTAGGCGGTGGGCCGACTGCTTCCTCGACGTCGGGCTCGCAGGGCTCGTCTTCGGCGTCGGGCAAGCTGTCCACGTCGACGATCATTGGCATAGCTGTGGGGGGTCTGGCTGGTCTCGCGTTGCTCTCAGTCATGTGCAAGATAGTGCCCAGGTGGTTGGGATGCGGGGGAGGTAGGAGGGTGCCGCCTCCGATGCACCAGCAGCCCGTCTATCCGATGAATCTCTACCCGTATTACCAGCAGAAGGCGGAGTCAGAAGTCACGCCGGATGATTCTGTTTCGATGGTCTCGGGGATGCCGAGACCGGCACCGACGCTTGTGTCTAATGCGCAGAGTTATCCGCCGCGCAGGTATTAGATACAGCCGGTTGGCGTTTTGAGAAATGTATGAGCATGGGTTTGGCCGATTGATGTGAGATTACATCCATGGTCTCTATCATGTATGTGCTATACTGGGTATGAAATTTACGCATGCTCTTCATGTCATTGGATCTCCATGTACAGTACATAGTTTCTGAGGACCATTCACTCTCTCGTGCACGCACGTGAACAAATCGATCATCTCGGCCTCAAATACCCTAGATACTTTCTCGCCTGCGCCTCATAAACTTCTACATCCAAATGCGGGAACCGTCTCAACTCCTCCAACCTCTGCTCCAGCAGTACCTCAGCACCCTCCCGTTTCGGATGACTACTCGGCTCCACCCTACTCATTCTCGCAGCCACATACACCTTCCATGCCCCCACGCACGCAAGCATGAACTCCGCCTGCGCAACCATGCACTCATCCTCGCACTTCCGCGCGTTCTCCAGCGCCGTTTTGGCGTACTCGCGCCCCTGGTCAGCATGCTGTTTGCGCGCCGCGCTTTCGCGCGCAGTCATGCTGAGGCGGATCGAGGTCTCCATGAGCTTCTGGCAGAGGCGCGAGACTTGCTTCGGTGGGGTGGACGGGTCGTTTTTGAGGTAGTTTAGGGCTTTGGCGAAGTTTTGGTGTGCTTTTACGAGATCGTGCCGGGCGATGCGGTCGGGGGGTAGTTTGAGGTGCGTGTTGCCTAGACTGATGAGCTCTGCTGGGCGGTGGCGTTAGCCTCATCCTACTTAAAGATAGCCATACCGAACGTTCCCAACTTTGATGCATCAACCCAGCGTAGATGCCTTTTAAACAGGACGCAAGGATTTGTTGAACATTGTTTAGCCCCTTGGAGTCCTCCAGGCCCTCAGGTGCAGGGATGTCCCATTGGAGCTGGTAACATGGGGTACTGGCTCTAGGCACGAGCATCTTACTTACAAATCTCAGACGAAGTCGCTCTTGACGATGCCAGATACGGTCTTTGTCCCGACTGGGGAAGCGTTTGCTCTTTCAGCCTTCGCGTAAATTCCGCGGTGGGTTCGTCTGCACGCCAGGCGGGAGATCAACACTGTTCTTCACGACTCATTTCTAGGCGCTATACATACATTCCTTCATGCGCAAATTCTCCACACACGCCCTCACCTCGCCTATCGTACCTCGTTTCTGCAAATACGTAGACGTCGCCGCACGAACCAAGTCCTGCTCTTCAAACTCCTCTAGCCTCACACTGCCCAGCCCATGGTCGACATTAAACCGAAAGCACCGGCCCTTCTCCACATAGTCGCGCCAGCGGCTCAGGAACTTCTCGTTGGTGCTCTCCGTCTCCGAGGCCTCCTTCTGCAGCGTCTCCAAGAGATGCTTCAGCCCCTTGTCAGAAACACTCCGGATGCCGGGATGGCCAGTGCCAACAGAGATGAAGCATTTGACCAGGGGCTGCAGATTCCCCGTCTCCTCGCACCAGAGGTCCGAGGCTTCTTCTTCAACTTCCAGGGCAGGGTTGTTCGCCCCGAGCGCGCCGTCGACGAACTTGCTGCCTTTGATGGCGACGTCGGAGAAGTAGGTTGGCGCAGCGGAGGTCGCGAGAGCGGCTTCAAGGATGGTTGGGTTGAGGTCGGAGACCGCGGGGATTCGGTAGCTGCGGAACCGGGTTGTGATGTTTGCCTTTTGGAATTTGGCGCAAACAAAGCTGGAGGTTGCAATCAAATTAGCCATGATGTTGTAATCACGGGAGATCTGCATTAATGTGTAGCGATGAAACTGAGGTATACTTACACCTTACACCGCGACCTCGTCACGTTCTCAAACTTTTCGTTGACAGGAATGCCGCGCGCTTTGAGGACCTGCGAGATTGCGTTCTCTAGCGCCTTGGACGAAAACCGCGGCTTGACGCCCCCAAGGATGCCTATGAAAGAATGATTTGCCTTCTTCTCGAAAACATGCTTCATCATCTTGGCGTATGCGTCTATGCATTCTTCGACGGACATTTCCAGACGGCCTAGCATGATGGCGATGAGCCTGCGTCGACATCAGTGACTGTTCTTTCGCAAAGTTGCCCGGACTAGGAAATGTACCATACAAGAGGTGCTAAGAAAAATGGGATTGTTCTTACCCTCCGGTGCTCGTCCCCCCAATCAAATCGAAGATCTCGCACGGCTTCCTCGGGCGCAGACCGGCCTCTTCACGCATGTAATTCAGCCGGTTCATGATGCCTTGGAGGATGTATAGCGTCGACAGGCCGCGGACGCCGCCGCCGTCTAGGGACAAGAGGCAGTAGCCTGTATTGTCGAGGGTGTGGTCATTGCCGGTCTGCGATCGCGAGGGTACTGCACTTGTCTCACTTTGCGCGTCCATGCTATGCGCCGATGGCATATTGTCGATTTGTTATGACTTTTCTGTTCGGTGAGCGGTAATCTACATGATCCTGATATTAATATTGATGGAAGGCGCTGAGGGGCACGGGTGGACGTCGCTGTAGCCGCCCACGAGGCTGAGCTGAAGCCTAAAATGCGCTTTGGCTTGAGCTTGGACGCGCAAGCCAAAGTCCCCCACAAGCGTCTGTTGCCAATGATTTATGAAGCACACAATAAAGCCTCGGTAGCCAATAAGCAAGTGATCATCATTAACGGTTCAGATGTATGTTATGTGCGCGCTGCGGTTAATAACGCAGGCTATATCGCGTGTCGAAGGGTCCGCCCTCCTTCACCAGAAAAGGGGCGAGAGGTAACCAATCTGTCTGTTCTGCAAATTGCGTGGCACCGATGGTAGCGTGCCGGTGTCTGGTGCTCGATTCGCGCAAGAGATGATACCGTTCTGTCCGAGAGCTCGTCGATGTGGGACGTCGCAAACGTCGTCGAAGTGATAGGCCGCCCAAGAACGCACCGGTGGCTGTGTGTTGTGGCAGGGGTAATGTTGAAGTGTTTGGCTCTGTCGTTGCACCCCGTGGTGCTATCCTGCGGCTCGATGCCGTCGCTGTCGTCGCCGACCGCGTCGTGTTGTGTGGCTTGCTCTTGGGATTTCGCCTTCTGTTCCTTCCGTGGTGTGGCTTGCTCGGGCCACAGCTCGGCTGACCCTCAAAAAAGTCCGGGCACTCAGCCAAGACGCGCCAAGCTCACCTTCAACCCACATAACCTTACACCTTCCTTACTCATGCTTAACACCTTCTACATAACGCTCTATTATCACGACTCCGAAGACCGTGAATTGTCGTAATAGATCGCGGACAGGTCCGCTATGCTCTTTCATTCACGGGCTAACTCTAACCACTAACCACTAACCATATTAAACTTGTGTTGAACTTGTATTGAACTTATATTTGAAAGGTGTTTAGACGGTGTTTAGGAGGTGTTTACCTAGAGGTTTTTCCGAGGGTGCTCTAAGCTTTTCCGTGGGTGCTCCGAGCTGATACCCGTCGGATATTGGTCCTTCCGTCGGAAACTGTTCAGCCCTTAACATGGATGGTGCGTCGCTGCCGTCAGCTCCCCGCAAGAGCGGACAAGGCTTGAATATCCAGCCGTTATGAAAAGCTCTCACTGACAAACTTTCCTTCTAACGTCCATCTGCTGATGGTGTGCAATCTAACTCCATTTCTTCATCAACATCGGAGCGTCACTCAAAGCACGTCGCAATCACCTGGTCGGATGGCTGAGGGAGGCACTGTTGCAAGATGACTTCCAGTAATGTCGTTCAACTGCAATGGGGCCTCACTGAGACCGCGGCTGGGACCTTGAACATAGCCACGGGGGCTGCTACGAGCAGCAACCACGGACAATGTCCAGCCAATTGCTCTGATAGCCTGCGAGCAGTTTGGTATGACCCTCCCCATGTGTATGGAGACCAAAATGGCCGTGGAGCTCCTTGCCAGACCACCACATACGTCTTCCATGATAAGTTTCTTGAAAGCACGGATCGGTTATCTCGCTGGAGACTGTACGGAATACCTCTCTCGCAACGAAGGAGGGATTAGATTCCTTTGTCTTGCTGCGGCACTTTGCTCCATAGGTAGTTTCCAGGCGGCGCAGGTTCTGGAGCGACTCCTTCAAGCTACCGCTCTCAGAGACCAGTTGCGACCTACGTTGCAGCAATTGAAACAGCTGTTCGAGGTCCTCCGAGTTAAGCTGGGATTTGCGGACTTTGCGAACAATGTAGACGGTTGGCAGACATTCTGCGCCAATGCTTTAGCGATGTCGCAATTCGATGGACCTGACGATCTTCGGGTCCCTTCGAAGGAGTCCATCGAGCAGCTTGTCCTGGCCTTAAGCCAATGCGGACGACTTGGCGAAACGTGCTATGTCAGAGTACGCTGCACTAGAAATTTCATTCCTTGGACGATGGCATTTACCAAGTGGATCATGGGCCAGCCACCCCAACTTGCTGTCTTCGACTCAGCCAGCTCTTCCAAACAGGACCCTCTCATTCCCAGTCCAGAATCTCATGTCCTTGTTGTTGTTGAAATCGCAGACCCGTCAGGGCCGTCATATAATCCGTATAAAATCGCAATAGCACACAACGTCGAATCCTTGTCGAGCCTGCTGAGAATCGATTGCTTGGAGTCTGCGACCACCGGAGATACCTTCCGTTTTCACGGCCTTGTGCATGCCAGAAGATGGGCAGCCTTAGAAGTTTCGCGGCTGTTGTCGCCTAGGGGACGCTTCTCTAAAAACGCGGTTACATGCTTCTCTAAACACGAGGTCACACACATGCTCCTCTATCTCGTAAAGACGGCCCTTGATGGCCTAGTGGTAGCGAATGCCGATGACTATAAGAACACGACGGGCGCTATTGAACTAGTCCGGGACGGACTGACATTGGTTAAGAACAACCCTTTCGAAAGCTCGGCAGTTGTGATTCCATTCCTGGAAGACCTCTTGGACTTCGACTGTCAAGTCATTGATCACGCCGGTTTCGCAGCGTTTCACAAACATAGAACAACGTCGGTGGATGCAGACACCTCTTCACGCGATTGGGAGCGCTTCTTACATAATCTTGCCCAGGTAGCCGCTGACTTGATGACTCTGTCACTCTATAGTGTCGATGCGCAGTCGCCCCTCATACCTCGCGTAGCGATGGATTCCGCTTCTTGGCGCAAATCGAGTCGGTATGATAAGAATAGCTTTTACCTTGGTGTTAAGAGCCTTACCGAAGCTCTTAGCCAGTTAGAGGAAGCCAAAGGTCAACCTACGGGGTCCGAGGGCCCAATCTGCGTGCTGTATCGTGACATCTATCAGGTTGCTCTTGATCTTGTCCTTCCGGAAGGGAGATACCGGAGTGATCCAGAACACATCGGATGGAATCCATTTGTGCATACGGGCCATGGATACGTTGTCTACTGTGCCGTCCTGGAGGGCCACTCTGTTCTTACAGAGGGCTTTTTACGCCTTTGTTGCTTTCCAGGACAGCTCATCTGGCACGAAGCCATTTATGATCATGTGTTAAACTTAGATTTCACATCTAGCATAACAGAGTCGCCTAGGGAGATGCCGCTTGATGATCCTATTCCAGAGTCACTCAAACTTCAAAGCAGCAACGCACGTTTGGAGTGGCAGATTGAGGGTGGTGACAAGTTTCTGTATGCGAGTCCATGTTTTACTACTGTCCCACGACCAGCTCATCCGGAAAGGAATTTTTTCATAGCATGGCATATTTGCGAAGCGCATACTGCTGTTCGATTGACGGGGCCTTGTACCCATTCGTTCAGCGACGAGTGTCCTTCCGTTCCACACGTCAGGAGAGTCTCCAACCTCTTGGCGGTGCCATTTATGGAGCGACGTAGGATTGCTTCTGATACGGCTAGCTCTTGCGCGTCTAACGAGGATGGCGATGAGGTTCGACATTGGCTGTACACAGCCAGGCATATAGATAGAGCACAGCTTGCACTGATGAGCTATCTTTATAGCAAGGGTAAAGGTGTACTAATGGAGGATAAAGATGTAACAAAGATCCTCCTTCACCGAGAAGGCTGTCTGGAGTGCGCTGTAAAGACAGCAAAAGCAGGCGGGTTCGATATCATCATCTGTTGAAATGGAGATATCCTACCTTACGGAAGCAGCTCAAGGACGGTCGGCAGCACTGGACGAGGCGAATTCAGAATTGTAGAGCATGACTTGCCATCCGCATCACTTTCTCTGTACCATCATTCGTAGGGAATGGAGTTTCCAGTCTTTCACAGTATACACAAGCATGTAACAACTTGACCTTCTCGCGACTCATCTCGTATCTGTTTTTGGTACTTGTTTTGATAGCTTATCAAAGGAACTCCCCAAAGCGCCACCCAATCCGCAATCATACCACCACTAAATCTTGCAGCGTTAGCACTTCTACCCAACGCCTCGCACCGGCAGGACTCTCATTCTCACAACAATCCACACGAGCCTGAACGCAACACCTCCGCGCGCCATATCCATCTCAAGTCTTGAGCCTATCCTCCTATTCAACTATAAGACCCAGCCAAACTAGTCATCCAACCTCCCGCTTCCCCCCAACCTCTCCCAAACCCATCTCCAAATAATACCAAACCCCACCAAGCGGTCGCGCACGCAGGCACCAGATCTGCCCACCCCACTCCATGACAACAGACAGAGCCCTCTCTCCATCACAAACTCTCCAGGCGTCCTCGTCATCGCTCGTCTACACACCATCCTTTCGCCGCTCACACCCCCATGCGACGCCAATCAGCCACCGCGAGCCCACCATACCCTCCACCCCTTGCGTGAAGCCGACTTTTTCCGCAAACCCCGCTTCTGCACAGCCATAAACGGTGCCGTACGGGACTGCGGTTGTGATATGCGTCGCACACGAGTCGCATGCCGAAACCGCTCGCGCACGGCATAAACGGCGGAACTAGCGACACGCCGCTGGGGGTACGGAACGTATCCAGGGCTGCGTGAGGAAGTGCGGAGGTTCGTCGATCAGGCAGGTCCGCGTTGGACTGAGTTCCGAAGACGGTGGGGCGATTGCGCTTCGGGGAACCTGAAAGGATGTTGAAGTTGGGGGCACGGGAGACTAATGTAGCGTGTAGACGGCGGAAGGAGTAACTCTATTAGATCTGATAACCCCTAGCTGGATTCACCTACACGGCGTAAAATCGACTTCTTTTTCTACGCACACGTTTAGGCCCGCGTAGATACTAAGATTTAGATATAGTAAAACACCTAGTTATATTAATTAGCTTTGAAAAGAGCGTAAGGAGTTAAAGCACTAGATATAGAGATAAGTAGATAGTAAAATAGATAGTAAAAATAGCCTATATAAGGCTATAGAACTTAATAATACTATAGCTAACTCTAAAAAAACTAGTATACTTTAGACTAGTATATTTTAAACTAGTAACATATATATCTTTAGATATAATATTA